TATTAGAATAGAATACTTGCTAACAAACACTTTTACTGCTGAACATATCATACTTATCAATTTCTTATCAGACAATAATTTCCATGAAAAGACTACAAGTCATTTATCTGGTTAACGACATTTCGGCGCCATCTTAACTGTCACTGCCATCTAGAGCGTCGCAGTACTCTGAGCCGCCCTTCCATAGCGTGATCCTTCGATGTCACTGCAGAGTAGAGTAGAAAGGCATACAAATGAAGGACGACCTTAACATAATCGCGTTAGTAAAATTTTCAAAGAGCCGGAAGCGCTGTTGTAGTAATAATGGTTGTTACGCTCCAACTGATTCGAGTCCGAGTTCAATCCCATTCGGACCTACTTACTCTCTCATCCTTCCGAGAACGTGGAATTGCTACCATAATTCTATGGGGAAACCTCACTCCTCCAATCCATGTGGAAACGGGCTAAAACCCACTAACACCGGATTTGAGGAAGAACCTACTTTACCAGAATTCAAAAACATTCATGATGAAGAAGAAAAAATCCTCAAGTAGATGCAGAAGTAATACGCAAAGAGTTCAGAGACTTCCGTAGACGATGCATGCGAGGAATCCAATCGAATGCAAGAAGTGCTGAGATCTGCAAATGTTATAAATGTGACACAAGGTCGTGCGACAGGAAAATAAAGATTTTCGAAGCAAATGGACAGCCTTTCTTTCAGATTTTACTAGAACTATGATGAAAACGACAAGGTGAAACATAATTCAACACGGTTTTTCCCTGAGCATCTACGTAATCCATGGTTTCTCCTTAAAATTTCATCAATTTCTCAGCCGTAGTTCAGGCCATAATGATAACCAGTTTGAGGAAAGGTGAGCTCAGATGGTTTCATCAGCAGATCGTGTCATTTTCATTGCCAACACATACGAACTTCGCTTTGTGCAATCTTTGTGGGCTTTTCCATTCCGTTGTGCCAATGTGGTGATTAGGATAATATCAATGGAGTTTCTAGATCAAACTTTACACATAACTCCGACGAACGAAGCGACTAACAATCTCACTAAGTTTAAACTTTATCCTGCTTTCAAATACTGCTACAATAGTGTGTTAACGGTATCAATAGTACGAAAATTTACACCGCAAAGTGGATTAATGCACTAAAGTACTGAGCTAGATATTGCAGCGAATATAACGCACTGAGTTAGTTTGCTTCACGTGAAAACATTTATTGCAACCGCCACTAGTCTACGTGTAGCGCTTGGAGGGTGAAACCACTGAAATGACACATCGAGAGGCTTACTTAAGTGCTTATATAGGCTAAATGGGAACTCATTCACATCTAATATACTACGAAAACTATTTCACGTGATGAAGCCAGCATGATTGCAAACTGTCGATCACCTCAATTCGGCAACCGTGTACACCGTCCTCTTTGTTCCCGCTGTAAATCACCATTTGTTCATAAGATGTCTTAAAAATCGCTCCTCACACTTCATGATTCATTTCAGATCACCGATAACTCATCAATCGTACATAATGTCGTAATTTCAACACAAAAGTGAATAAAATTTTCAATTGCAATAACACGATTTATCATTGATCAACAATCACTTTCACATTCCCTCTATTTTCAATATGACTAAAAAACCAGTAATGAGATTAAAGGTGTTACATCATATAACGTGAGCTATACAAAAATTTCACAACTAAGATATCACCATTCTGCAACGATATTAACGTTGACGTCAAAAGAGGAGTTAGGCAAAGCGATACCATCTCGCCAAAATTATTTACCGCAACCTTCCAGAACGTCATGCCAACATTGGAATGGGATAAAATAGGAGTGAAAATCGATGGTCAGCAGCTAACCATCTTCGCTTTGCTGATGATATCGTCCTTATAACACCAAACATTAGCGAGGCGGAACGTGTGCCTGCCGACTTTGACAGTCTGTGAAAATACTGGTCTTCGACTCCATCTCACGAAAACGATGTTAATGAGGAGCGGATTGCTTGCGCATGTCTCATTCGGAGTCAATGAAATGAATATCTCCGAATGCTCCAGTTATATCTATCCATCAACAAATCAACAAGTTGAACGTCGGGAAATCAACATGTTGAACGACTTAGCTCCAAGGTTGAGCAGAAGGAAACGAGCGGCTTGCGGAGCTTTCAAGAGCATCGAAGACTTAGTGAAGAGAACAAAGAACATCCGACTCTGCCCAGCCCTTCGGCTCAACGGTACTTCCTACCGTAATGCATGCGTCAGAAACCCGCACCCTGCTTATACAGGATGAAAGATCACTCAGCGTTATTGAACGCACAGTCGAAAGGACGATGCTAAAAGTACCCCGTTTTACAGAAGTAATGGAAGGGATCCGAAGCTCTGACCGGCTTCAAAGATCAAAATTCAAAGATGCCATTCTGTACGCCAAACGGTCGAAGGTAAGATGTGCCGGACACGTAATGCGTATGAATGATAACCGATGGACAAGAGCCGTTAGTGACTGGATTCCTCGGGATGTCAAATGTACTGTAGGAAGACCACCAACCCGATGATCAGAGTTCTTCACAAAGAGCCTTGAAGAAAGATGTGATGCTCGAGTCCTTAGAGCGAGCAGAACCCACTGGGCTACTCTTCCACGCGACAGGGAAAAATGGAAGATTTATTGGTGCCCGCTCGAGTCACTCGACGAACAACAGGACTACGAGTGAAATAGGTGATACATCGACCATAACCAAAAGAGACTCTCGAATAGAATATGTTCTCACTCGTTCTCTTCGGTGTTCATAATCGGGAAGATATTCGTGCCAATACATTTATAGCAGTCATGGACCAAATCAAAAGACGTAAAGAATCCCTCCTTGGAGTATATTTCTTTCCCCGAGTAATTCATTATTTGGTGATTATCCATATTGCTTCATATAGAGGATCCTTAACCGCATTGCTGCCTCAGCTCACATTCCTTGACCCTAGCTACGAGATACTTTAACACGAGGCTCATCTCATTTCCATCCATGAATACCTGCTGTTCAGAAACCTGATTAGGCCAACAACACGGCCACAGGTACTACAGTACCACCAACTTATTTCAATCCCCACTCTCATGACATTAAACAGACTGATGGCGACCTCGTTTGACTATGTAGGCGAAGGCCATCAGCATTTGGGCGATATTGAAAGCAAAAACAGGACCACCAAATACAGCTACAAAAATCTTGAATTCAGTAACATTGCGTTATCTACCGTAAAACTACACTACGGTAACTTCAAACAAGGCTCTCATGGCTAGCCACTGAGCTTCAGCAAGTTTACCAGCCTCAGCACCGCCAGACTGCTTTATCTGAACATGACCTAGTACAACCAGATATTGATGCCCTTTGGCCTTAAACTCGCCTCCTGATGCTCCATTGACGGACAGACATCAGACAGCGTAGCAAACCATATTCATGTAATTGTTGACAAAATGACATGCACAAATGAGAAATCAAGGTGACCAACAGTTGTATAGCAAATGTGTTGAGAACAGCTGGAAAATAGTTGAGAAGAGGAAAAAAAAATGATGGTAAACAACAAAACATAAACATTGTATAGAAAATCCTATTGCAACCCACTGATGCCCTTTAACCCTAAACACTTGATGACGCTCTACAATGATAAAGTAAAATACGTGTAAGAGGGTGAAAGTGGATTCCGAGCGATAGTTTCACTAGAAAACAGCAATCACTAACTTGTGACTATTCTGAAAACGGTAAATTAAAGTATAACAGAGAAAACATCAAAAGTGAATACTCTTAAACCGTTTTCAAATCAGTCAATATTTATTAGTAAAGCCGAAATACTTCAACACCAAACAGAAAAATGCCACAATATGTGGTCTTGACCTCACAAAGAATAAAACAATAAAAGTATCGCTAAAATAAAAATAGAAATCTTTATAAATAGAAAAAGGACCTCCTATAGACAGAGCCTAAAAATCTTCTACAAATATCACTTTTAAAGAACTTGAAATTACGAAAACTGTGTTACAACCTACAATGGAAAAGACATCAGTATTGAACCACAAAATTATATTAACTGCGAAATAACAGCTCCCTAGCTCAGAACACTTCCTCGCCGTCAGTTGACTCAACACATACATACGGATTCGAGACGCTTCCACTTGTACTAGTTCTTAAAGCAGCATTTTCTTGTGTATTGAAAGTAAATAAATAACCGCACGATGGTAAGATATTCGCAAAACTTGGACTCCGGACCAGATCGAACCACGATTACCCCTTACGGGGGGTCGCGTATTACACACTGCACCACTGAATCCCTTGCTCTGCGATTTCCTCAGCTAGTTTCCTAACTAAGGCTGCCATAAGCAATCACCCGTCAGCGGGATTGATCTAGGGAGCAGAAATCGGCATGGCATTGAACACAGTTAAATAAATGAACAGCAATATAAAAACCGTTGACCAACCACCCAATGAAATTCCTAATAACGGAAAGCCCATGAAAACAGAACGTGCTCTTTTTCTTGCACAGTTACAGTTTTGCACTGTGAGCTTAAATGGGTGAATAACAGAACACTGAAATAGATCTAGATCATAAACAGAAAAAGTAAAACTCCCAAAATAAATAAAAGTGTGGGGTTTTCTTCGCTAAGGAAGTGTTTCTCTAGTAACATGAACTACTAACAACATACGTTCCACTGTAAAGGGGGAAAGAAAGATTTTCACATTCAAAATTTGACATGTAATTATTTTAAGAAAAGTAGAAGCTCGTTCGGAACAACAATTATTTGATACAGTACCAATCATTATTTGATAATCATTTAATGAGTTAATACTGAAGATAACTCCCAACGGTTTACCGCCTCATCGTAGCTGAGAGGTGTTCCTGGGTTTCGGGCTGTGATGTACAGCCGGGGATTCATCCCCACGGCAAAGCTTCCCATGCTGAGAAGGAGTCCAGCATTTCCACCAGGAATCCCAGCTGACAGTAAAACAATACTAGGATCCACCACAGATGTGGCATCAAACGTCACATGGTGGAAAATCTCCCTCTGATCCACAAGGGCGGCGACTGTCTGTGGTCGTGACGAATTGGGCAGACTTTGGTCTGGCTAACCTCGGCGTTCCAGGGAAACACAGTAGCTTAGCCAGCAAATCTCCGAAAAATGCAGAACATGCTGGAGCCCGCATAACCAGTGAGGATAGACCAAGTATACAAGTATGCTGATGATAAGTCCCAATTTTTGCAAGCTACTTAAGTTTTTTTCAACCTTTCAAGCTATATCAGAAACATAAACTTCAAAGTACACTGCAAAAAGAACGCTGAAAGAACTCACTTCAGATCGCGCACAGGAAGGAATCGAGTACGCTTCTGACCAGGTTCGACGTCGGAAACCGACTCAATAGTTTTTTCAGTGTCATTTGAAGACTGCGGTTTTCCTGAGAAATGAGTTTTCCTATTCAAATAAAAGAATTACGTTTTATTACTTCATTGCCAATTCTTGTATAAGAAATTATCAGCATAAGACACACAATAAATTGGAGTTCTGATCAACACAGAATACCGAATACGTCAAAGTCTACCTTTATCAAACTTGCCACCTTCCCCGCGAATGCGAGCCAATGCATGCTGATGTCGAGACTCGTGTAGATATTTCTGAAATTAAGGTCGACCAAAATTTCAAAACCATTAACTTGGAAATCTCTCATTAAAGCGAAATTTAACAATGAATACGCATAACATAATTTGACAGCTTCACCTGTCTCTTCTTAGGCAAACGGCCTTCCGCTTCCAGTTTTTGTCGTGCAGCCCGCCTCTTCAAAATTCGATGATACTGACGAGCGTTCACGTACAGTGGTTCCTGCAAACATAAGCTTTTGCACTCTCAGCATATAGAACGTTTTATATGTTAGTTTTAAAATAAAATGAAACACACCTCTTCCTTCGAAACAGGAGCGGTAACAACCATGTATGCAGTCTCATTGGCGATTTCTTCCTGAACAATATTGTTTATAGCGCTTGATAAAGGACACGCGAGAAGGTAACTATTATGAAACAACTGGTTACATCTTCCGCAATTTGTAAAACGGGTCCCGCATTGTGAGAAATATTCGCCTTCGAATTTGGTGTTGAAGCTGAAATGACTTTGTAACGACTGTGTACCCAAAACTTCCCCAAAGGACACACCACGAAGATACTGGCAACGTATTGGAGAGTGAAGTTCATAAACCAAGCAAATATTAAATGAATGCCTGGAATCACTACCATACTGGGAATACTGGCATATGATGGTGATATAAAAAAGCTCTAGAGCGATCAAATAGAAATTGTTCCGCGTTCTGTACCAGATTCTGTGACTAATGAAGGTAGCCATTAAAGTATCGGACCAAGTATTGTGGCTATACAAACTTTGAAATCATCTTTTTAAAAAACTTTGTGCTATTCTATCCAAACCAAATAAAATTTAAAGCACATTTATCGATGAAGCTTTGTTTAGTGATTCTGCACAAATGTATGAGTTTATCCACTTAAAAGTACTGAAACAAAATGAAAAAAAAAACGAAATTAATGAACGCAAAGACGTAGGTAGAAAGGGTTAGCAATAACAACGTTCCTTTTAACGTACTTGGCTGCCGACCCCAGCATAATCTCCATTTTTCCCTAGAGTCGAGGTTAGCCAAGCCAAAGTCTGCGCCAGGTCTTCACCACGACAGGCAGTCGCAGCCCTTCTCGATTAGTGCGAGGTTTGCCACTATGCGACTTTGATACCAGGATGGTGGTGGATCCTGGTATTGGTTTCTCTTAGCTGGGCTTCCTGATGGAAACGTCGAACACCTTCTCAGTTTGGGATACCCTGACGGGGGATAAATTCCCCCGTTGTACGTCGCAGCCCGATACCCGAATACCCAAGAACACCTCCAAGGCACGATGAGGCGGTAAACCGTTGGGAAGTCCTTCTAACTACGGAACCATAAATGAAATCACAGTTCAATAGTGTTTTAAAACCATAGATACAGCGACGTCTTCTTTGAAGATGAAAAGAGTGGCGGACAACACACTACCATCTATTTCAGCCACTCAAAGGCGTCGAACGAATTCCATTATGAAAACTGCACCAAGCGATTACGGAAGAAGCACATATAGGTAAATCAAGAACATCTGAATATCTAGAATCGAATGATAAATGTTAAAAAGACCAAAGAAAGAATATAACTCCAATGATGCTGAGATATTTGCAAAACTCCGGACCGCAGATGTCTGCGGTGGGGAACAAACACGCTGCTGTCCTTTCCGGGCAGTAATGCGTTCACCACCACACCATGCGGGCCCTTCGTTTCACCTGCCTCTCAGCTAGTTCTACCGATCTCTGCCATTTTTGCCAAAAAAATACCACGTGACCTGAACGAAGCGAACAGCCAATTTTTGAAAATTAAACGGCTCTGCGCATCTTTCATGCAAAATAAAAAACCTGTTTCCAAGCTCCGTTATGATCCGTGACAGGAAACTTGCTCTGTACTATAATCGAGGAAGTTCTACACCTTATCTGGGCAAATATGAAGCGGCTAAAGCCTTCAGGAAGTCAAATATGCGTTAAAAATCTATGTTAACTGTTTCGTGGTTAGCTTATGGAACCATGCACGCTAGAAGTTCTCCAATCTTAACATCAACGATGCAGCATAAAACTGGTCAGATACCCAGTAAATGCACCAAAATCAAGAAAACCTGCAAACGAATTTGCTCAATCGAAAACAATCAATTCAGGCTACTATCAAACGTCGTACGTAGTGAACACTGGAGAAGGTGAAGCAGTTATAATACGAAACTTTTTCTCGGTCAGCACACACGATGGACTCCTCGTCAGTCATTTCCCACTTTTCCAAACACCTTGACAACTACGAATAGTGCGTGCGACACTAACAACCAAAGCATTGCTTAAAATGAGTTCCGCTAGCAAGTGTAGAAAGCAGAGGTTAATGGCTAGGAATCAAAATCGACATAAATTCATGACCACCTAGTAATAAGTATGTTTCATCTACCCTTTAACAAAGTCTTAAGGGGTAAAATGTTCTACGTGGAAATGCAACAGCAACAACTATTGGGACCAACATTTGTAATCGTCTTATGGAATGTTTCCACCAGGTTGCCCAGCTAAGAGTAAACCAATACCAACTTCCATCACCGTCCTGGTACCAAACTAGTCGCATGGCGGCAAATCGCCCAGTGATCCACAAGGGCGGCCACTGCCCGTGCTGGTGACGACCTGGGGCAGACTTTGGCCAAGTTGACCTTGGGACTGCAGGGAACCACAATGACTAAACTAGTAAAACTCCGAAAAATGGAGATTATGCTGAGGCTCGCGCAACCAGTGAGGACGAGTCGTCCAAGTATCCAAATAAGTAGGTTAATGGTAGGTTAACGCAATGTTAGACAACCTGAAAACTGCTCGATGACATGATCAAAACGAGCTTACCTGCATATACAACACTCGGTGTTGATGCACTTGACGAAGTGGGAACATTTCCCTGGACAGGAACAAATGTGTTCGAGTCAGCAAGAGTGACAAACTGCATAGGAGTGATGTTGTTCAACGTCTGAGTTAGCTGTAAAAGAAACGGGATACGCACTACATATGCTTACTAAAATACTAGAATTAAAGATGTTTATCAAGTGTTTTAGAGTATGTGCAGGTATTAACAATCGTCCTAAGCAAGATTTACTGTCAGACTTGAACCCCTATCAAAAAAAAACCCTAAAAAAAACTCTAGCTCTGAAATCGCAACACTCCTTAGCTATATCGCAATTCCACATTTCTGCTAACTTGCACTAACATATAAATGAGAAAGTATAATTAGTTACATTTCCTTTCAATAGATTAAAACAACGGACCGGGTTCTCAAGTTGGGGATCATTATCTGAATTCAGGATATCAGGTGTCGTCGTAAGGCCGCGTATTCAGTCACTGCTATTCATTCCGTATAAAAAGCGCACTTCAGAGGAAATACCCGCCCCTTTGAGGCAACATGGCTTGAGTTAATAGTTCTTATCATAATCGTCATAACGTAACCTGCCAGAATTATTCATTTCATTGCAATTATATATTTCCGCAATGCGAAGTATATTGATGGGCGCATGCGTCTTCGGCTCTGCGGTGGATACCTCTATAGCTCAGCTTCCATAAGCACAAAACTAATCTAGTATATCATCAATTTAATAGCAGTAAAACAAACTAGGATACAGAAAACAAAATGTCAGCTAACAGGCGGTAGACATGCTAGAAATGGTTCAAATACTTCATAAATGTATGATGTGGGGGTATTCTGAAAATGCTACCTAGGACACCTCATGCACATGTGCATATATTGAAAGATAAAAGGATAAAGCTCTCGGCGTTGATCAATCCCTGAGGGATGTTCCATGCATTCGACTTCATTGAGCATCGTTTGTAGGTGATTGAATGCATATCTGGTCTTTACAATGACTCACGATGGCCTACCTATGTATCGAGCCAGTGCTGCTATTCTCTCAGATAAGTCTAGTACCAACCTGCCCACCCTGGAGGAATTGAAGGCTAGGTGAACCATCGGCGCGTTGATTGATCCTATGTGTATTGGCGGGGCGCCTCCGACCACTACGCTACACTCGCCTTACATGCATAGATTAGAAAAGGTTAAATCGAAATAGAAATAGTGTGCTAGGATAATCGTAAGTAGATGTGAACAGAATCGTAATCCTTTAAGTAGATCAAGGACCGACCCACACCTTTTCCCATGTCCACACCCTTTAATGTTTGAAATTTGTGGGTGTGGATAAGTGAGCGAAGCATTATTGTCGGAGGTTGACATTCAATAAGAAAATGGGCCCGCTGAAAGAATATGCCGATAGAATCTTGAATATTTCTACCAGATGGAATCGCTGACATGAACCCACATAACTGTAAGTGATTTGCAACCAATGTTTTGTTCTTGTATTACGATCGCACTGTACAGTACATTGCTGATCCACCATTCTTTCTTTTATTTTTCGTTGGTATTCTTCTTTATAGACGTATGACTTTGCATCGAAATTGTATTAAGCCAGTAAGTTAATACTATTATTATTTATTTACATGACCCCTCTTTCACAAATACAGTACGGATCCCAGCACTTCTCAAATCGATTCGTTCCCTCGCATCTTTTATCCACTACGTTCTTCCAACTTTTAAGCGCGCATTCGGCTGCAGATTAAGGATTTCCATTTTATTTTAAATGTCGTAAAATACTGATCGAGTCGACTCTAATTGGAGTACTGAGATAGCCGGCCTAGAACGTTCTCAACTGCCAGGAGCGGGGTCAAATAAACACCGTGTTGGTGATGATCGACATCACTACCACTGCGCTATCCGCCCCTAGTAAATATATAAGTCTGAACAAATCTGTTTATATTTTATTTCCGGAAAGTACTGCTTATGTATAATGGTCAAATTACCAATCTGTTACTTTATGCTCATAACAACGATGAAACGATAAATACATATCCTGAAATGAAATGTACCTAACCTGAACATCAGCGAGAGAGGTTCCAGGAGGGAGTTGAAGGTAGAACTGCCGATGTTTGCCGTCTCCCATGTCTTGTATGACTTGAAATGTCTGAAAAGAAATTCTGTATCAGCGTTGATCTACTGGTCTCGATTGGTCACAATACCTGCAAGGATCGATGAATTAACGCAGTCGACCACTACTAGCTAAGGAGTATATGCTTTACGCCAGACACTAAGCCATAATTAAAACCCCACAATAGTGTTATTGAAGCCGGCCCTAGTGACAGAGATACTTAACCGATGCGCAGAAGAAAGGAAGAACTCGAAATGGGGAACAAACCTGGGTGCATTCC